ACTTCCTTGCCTGAGCAGTTCTCTTGTTTAAACTTGTGCTGAGATTTGGATCTTCCCTGTCCTGATGTCCTTTCCATGCAGAGCCTCTTGGGGTGTGCAGACCTCATTCTGAGTCTCTGGTTTGTTAGGACACACCATTCTGCTCAAGGACCTCTTCCAAGGCTGTAGTGGGGCCTGGAAGAAGATAAGCTTGCTCATATTGTGTCTTTTCTATTGCACTTGTCCCTTATGGTGCCACAAATGGATTTGTGTGTGGCAGTAGGTGGAATGATTGCATGCATCTTTTGTAACTCGCTGGTATTATAAAGGGAGTTCGAGAAAGCATTGTTTATAATGTCAGGGCAAAAAGATAGAAACTAGAGCCCAAAGAAATCCCCTTAGAAAACAAGATTATGTTATAATAGGAAACTTAATTTCCAGAGGCAGAAGCTGCCCCTTCAGATGTTTAGTCCTCCAACAAATAACACTGTTACAGTAGTCTGTGGCCTGGATTTTAAGTGGTAGAGCCTTCAGAAGGGCAAAAACTTAACACTGAAGTTTGGGGCAACAGGGGTTAGAGAGTACACTCGCTGTTGATTTTCAACACCAGAAAAGTCAAAGTCCTCTTTTTAAGCTGGTTTTTCTAATTGAATGGAGAATGAAACTGTCACATCCTTGTTGGGTCTGTTTAGGAGGTCTCCTGCCTCAAAGTGGATGTCTGCATTTTGTTTCTGTCTTGTGTTTTTATTATGAAAAGAAATGTTATTGGGGTGGGTGTCGGGTGTAGATTATGGTAGTAAGAGGAATCCCTGGTTTTGTTTTCCTTAGAAGAGTTGTTTAGTGTTTTATCAGATGTCTGTTGTAGTTGTAGATGGAAAAGCTTGTTTAAAAAACAAACAAACAAAACAAAAAAAACCAAACACCACATGGAGCCTGTAAATGTTTTTGCACAACCTGTAAAGCATTCTTGGAAGTGGCCAGTAAAAAACAGAGGGGAGGGGGGGTTCCATTTTTAAAAATGTAACTGTCATTGTTTACATATGTAACTCTTACCCTGTTCTCATTACATCATTCTGGCAAAAAATGTAGACACAGTAGTTCCAGTTTTAGAATAAATAACCATTTGGATTGAATTTTCCTATCTCCTGTGGCTGCACTGACTGGAATGATCATGGAGGTGTTTGTTTTAATAATGTATTTTTTCAAAATAATTTATTTTGAGGCAGAATCTTGTATCCCAGACTGGTCTGGAACTCTTGATCATCATGCCTTAAAACCCAAAATGCTGCATACGTGTTTGTCACTACAACCATCTTAATCACCTTTTTTAAATTTTGGTGTGTGAACAGAAGTCCACAGGAATTGAGTGTACCTGCAGAAAATGGGGATATGGGTCACGTGGTGGTCAGAGGACAGCTTTGTGAAATCTTTCTCCCAGCCTTATATAGGATCCAAGGACCAAACACAAATTGCCAGACGTGCATGACGTGCCAAGCCATCTATTTGTCAATGCGTAGTTATTCAAGATGCACTAGTTATAGCCAAAAATAGCTTCTGGGTGTATGAATGCTGAACTCTTTTCTATGCCTTCACTTGGGAACTAGCTATTATAGGGATCTGTCTACCTGGTATGTGCTTATAGTAACATCTTTTTTTGTTTGTTTGTTTTTTTGTTTTTTGTTTTTTTCAAGACAGGGTTTCTCTGTATGGCCCTGGCTATCCTGGAACTCACTCTGTAGACCAGGCTGGCCTTGACCTCAGAAATCCACCTGCCTCTGCCTCCTAAGTGCTGGGATTAAAGGCCTGCGCCACCACCGCCTGGCATCTTTTTTATTTTTAATTTTATTTATGTGTATGAATGTTTTTCCTACATCTGGGTCTACTACATGTGTGCAGTACCTTTGGAGGTTAGAAGACGGCATTCCATCCTCTAGAACTGGAGTCCCATGGTTGTGAGCTTAAAAGGTGGTGTTAGGAACTCTGAATCCTGATCCTATGCAAGAGCAGCAAGTGCTCCTAATCACGGAGCCATCTCTTGTACTAAGATCTTGAACCATTAGAATTGAAATTTTAACTCTTGGGTTCTGCTAAAATAATCAGTTGGATGTTTGATGTTAAATTAAAGGTTTTGTTTATGGAAGCCAATTAAGTTCATGTGTGAATATTAATTACCTAAAGAGAAAAGTCTTCATTTTTCTAATGAATTTCAAGAGTGAAAGCTACAGAAACATTGCAGTGCTGCTACTGAACAGACAAGGCTTAGTGTATATGTGCTGCTGCTAGCAGCTAGAACTTTTTACTTTACTTTGTTTTTGCCTTTTGAAACTGGTATTGTAGCTGCTACCATACCAGGCTCGGTAGGACTTTTGCTTTTTAGCCTGTTAATTTTATGGGGGTTTGGGGGATGTGGGAAATTGTGGAGGCATGTGCCACAGTACACCTGTGAAGATCACAGGATGACTTGGGAATTGGTTCTCTTCTACCATTTAGGATTCAAGAATTGAATCCAGTCATCGGGCTTGATGGCAGGTACTTCTACCCACTGAGCCATCTTGGGGCTTTTTGTTTGTTTGTTTGGTTGGTTGGTTGGTTGGTTGGTTGGTTTTTCAAGACAGGGTTTCTCTGTGTAGTCCTAGCTGTCCTGGCACTCATGCTGTAGACCAGGCTGGCCTCGAACTCAGAAATCCGCCTGCCTCTGCCTCCCAAGTGCTGGGATTAAAGGTGTGCGCCACCACTGCCCGGCTATTGGGGCATTTTAAAGTTAGCGCTGGAGCTGATTATAATTAGTGTTAAGCCTGACATGATAATCACATGCCTTTTGTCTTAACACTAGATAGGCCAAGGCAGGAAGAATTCTATGAATTCAAAACCAGAATATTCCAGATCAACCTGGCCTACAGAGCAAGACTATTTAAAAAACAAACCAAGAACAGCAGGGTGTAGTGGTATATGTGTGTGACCCTAGCACTTGGGAGTTGGAGGCAGGAGAATCAGGAGTTCAGAACCTGTCTCAATCTACTAATGGTCTATTCCTTTTTTTTGGCGGGAGGGGGGTGGTTCGAGACAGGGTTTCTCTGTGTAGTCCTGGCTGTCCTGGCACTCTGTAGACCAGGCTGGCCTCGAACTCAGAAATCCACCTGCCTCTGCCTCCCAAGTGCTGGGATTAAAGGCGTGCGCCACCACTGCCTGGCTAATGGTCTATTCCTAAGATTTATATTCATGAATGTTTTGTCTGCATATATCTTGTGTGTGCCGTGTTTGTGTCTAGTGCATGCAGAGTAAGACGAGGGCATTGGATCCTCTTGAAGTGGAGTTAAGATCAGTTGTAAGCCGCCATGTGGATACTGAGAACTAAATCCAAGTTCTCTGTAAGAGCAACAGCTAATCCTAAAAACTGAGCCATCTCTTCTAGCCCTACTCTGAAATAGCGTACACATTGTGCTAGTTGCTAGTCCTGTTTTCTTCTCAACCAGATACTTACTGCTAATTTGAACAGGTATCAAATTTCATGAAAAAACTAAGATTGGTGTTTTAGGGGATAAGGTAGGGCAAGGGTTAACCTAATGTCACTAATATCACACTTTAAGCATTTTTGACTTTTTGCCACATCTGAGCTGATAAGATCAGTCTTACTACCCTGGTATTTGCCCAACACTGATACAGTACAAAAAGGGCTCTTGTCTCTTGCTATTCCCTGTGAACATTTTAAGCATATACAAATAGAAAAAAACATTCGCCGGGCAGTGGTGGTGCACACCTTTAATCCCAGCACTTGGGAGGCAGAGGCAGGTGGATTTCTGAGTTCGAGGCCAGCCTGGTCTACAGAGTGAGTTCCAGGACATCCAGGACTACACAGAGAAACCCTGTCTCGAAAAAAAAGAAAGAAAGAAAGAAAGAAAGAAAGAAAGAAAGAAAGAAAGAAAGAAAGAAAGAAAGAAAGAAAGAAAGAAAGAAAGAAAAAAACATTCATTAGGTATTAGGCACCTATTGCATTCTAGACATTGTGAGCAGGTGGGGATTATAACAAGAATCCTTCCTGGAGTTTTCACAAGAAAGAAGGAACAAAGATTATAATATACTGAAGTGTGTGTGTACTGTACAGGCATACTCTTTGTGGAGTCAGAAGAACTCTGAGCTATCCCCCACCACCTTGATGGATGAAAATCATTGGGCCTGCAGTCAAGCACCTGTTCAGTCATTTGGTTATGACACCCTGGGAATTAGACCTTCCATAGATTTTGATAAAACAACTATCCATAGATTTTTAAAACAACTGGGACAGTTAATTGTGGCCCAGTATCCAAAACATCTATGTACATCTACTCTTAGTACAAAAAAGCGTCTAGGAGATAATCTGGGTCTCCTAAACTTCCACCAATTCTTAATCTAGGAGGCATTCATGACACATGGTTTCCAGTCAGACATCATTCTGAACCCTTCTTAAGATGTTCTTCAGCCACCTTGAGAAAATAAAAAGCCCAATTCAATAAGAAAACAGAAACATAAATTTATTACTTATTTAGGTCCCAGAGAGACCAAGGAACAGGGTGCTCCAAGATAGACTGACACACACACACACTTGTGTTATTACATATAATACCTCAAAGGGAACCTCTACTCAGAAAGGTGAGATTCTTATGCAAAGTCCACATTGTGCTTCTGGGGCCCCAGTCCTAGAGACTAGTTCAGGATTTCATTGTGTGTCTGCGGGTGGCTTGAAACTCAGATCCACCTGTCTCTGCCCCCGGAGTGCTGCCCACCACACTGAACTATGAACCCATGACCTCTTTAGGTATCTCCCCACCCCCACCGCCCGTAGTTGGTTTCCAAAGCATGTCTAGTTCCAGATCCTATGAGACAGAGAACCTGACTCTGACTTCGAGAGGACAGGGGCAGCCATTTTAAGACCAGAGGATCGCGTAAGGGATCGTTTCATACTGGTAACGCTGGGGACCGCCATTTTAAGAGCACCCTTGGAGCGTGCCGCCATGCGGGTATGAACAGGCAGTCGCCATCTTGGGCATTGGCTGCAGGCGCTGAGTCGCGCTGTCCCGCCCCACGGCCTCTCAGGCCACCTCCACCTGGGCCTCCTGTCCTTGGGCCCGCGGAAACCCACCCTACTGCCCCTTGTAGTTCTCGCCGCTTTCGTTGCGCGCTCGTGTGAATGCTCCGCGGCTTCTGAGCGCTCGTTTTAACAACCCCCCACTGGGGGCGCTAGGGCATCTTATACTCCGCGATCTCCAATCCTTACAATGTCTAACCCGCTCGACTGGCCGTGTTCCCTGGATATGGCAAGTGTATCGACTAAAGATCCTCTTTCCCAAGAACGCTAACACAGGCGTTGTCTTCTGAGGCTCTGAATGACTTTATTCTTCAAATGCCTTTACCTTTTCATAGCTCCAGGTGAGCACCCGGGCATCCCCCTCTCCATTGCCTGAACAGATGGATCACCGAGGGAAACAGGCAGGATTTTGGCAGTTTAACGGGGTCCCTTTATAGATAGAGTAAAAGGTGCTTGGAGTTGGCCTGCAAGGGTGAGGAGATGGGCTAGACATGGGTAAGGAGGGCCTTGTGCTTCAGATAATCTCAGGATAAGTGCGGGCAGAAATGGACTGCTACAATTTCCAATCTTAGGGCGGGTCTGGGAGGGGGAGATGAGATCAGAGAAGGTACAGCGAGCGCTCTTCAGAGGAGAGCACAGAAGAACTTCTTCTCTCGGAAGGGGTTCTCTGAAGTGGGCACAGGAGTGATGAGAGGGTCCTCACAAGCGTGGGCATCACAGTAAGTCATCAGGTCTGCTGCTGCCTTGGACACCTGGAACACAGCCAGGAGGGGAAACATTAACCAGGATTCCTGAAAGGGACTGCAAGTTCTCTTCACCAAATAGACTATCTTTTTGTTTCTGGTGCCCTTTGAGATGGACCTCTCCCCCATTGCCAGTCCTCGAGAACAACTTTCCTGACAAAGCTCAATTTCTGCCTCTGACCTCAGGGTATCAGGAAAAAAAAGCATCTTTTTGGGGTGGGGGACTGATTGCAAACCTACAGCTGACGCCTGGAGGACTAATGGGCGCCTGGGTCGCACCCACCTTTATCCGGCACAAGCTGGCCTCAATCTTAAGCTGTTCCACCATCTTGCGTGCTTGGCCAATACTCATAGTGCTGTTAACAGGGGTCTCCCCTTTCATCCTGGAGTAAAGACAGACAACTTAGTAACCTCAGCTGAAGCACTCAGCTCTTCAGCAACCACACAGCTGGGATTGTGCCCCAATATTTTGTTCCCCTAATATCTCCACTCTTCAGTGGCCATCCCATTTTTTTTTTTTTTAAGTGGGGAGAATAGAGAAGGTGAAATGAAATGTTCTCCTAATCCCTGGGTCCTGGTCATCAACCTTACAAACGATTTAAGGATTTTAAGTCTTTGAGCCAAATATGTTACCAGCAATGAAAGCCTCAGTCAGAAAGAGCCCCACCCTGATGAAATCACATCAGCCGCATGTCCCCTTAAGCCCTAAAGAGAAAAAAGCTGCTCTCTACTCACCTGAAGTGACAGCAGCAGCAGCCTGGGATGGAGGGTCAGTGGGGAGGGGGCACCAAACCCTGCCTCAGATAGGTGCCCCACCCTGCCAGGACTTGGAGCTAAAAATATCTGTAGCACTGACAGTTAATGCAGAGAAGGTCACTAGAGATGCTCAGACTAGAGATCCTTGGAGGGGTGGTCTCGGTTTCTGCAGCTTAAGCACTGCCCAGATGGCTGGTACCTGAAGGATGAAGGATGCTAGAAGGAGCGGCTCAGATTCTGGAGCATACCAACTGCCCGGACAGTGGGGGAGTCTGTCTGATGTTTGCATCCCCTGTGCACACCCTCACTGTTGCTATCCCACTACCTGCCCCTGCCCACTGTACAAGTCCTTAGTCTAAACTAGATCCCTCCCCAAAGGACCTGAGGCAGAAGCAGGCTCCCCTCTCAAATGGGGTAGTCTGGGCCTGTGACAGCCCCTGCACTAGAGTCTGTACCCACTGCGGGAGACCCTGCTCATTTGAAAGTCTGACATCAGCTGGGCTGCTGCCCTACCCCCACCCCCACCCTGACACAGCACTTAGCACCTGAATCTTCATTTCTTTTCAATGACCCTCCATTCTTCAGATCTAGGAAAATGTGACACTCTACAGGTGACCAGCTTCTAGATCACCCCTTTCTACCCACCAGTGACTTGAGTGGGGAGATCCAGGGGCAGCAGAGGTAACCATCAAGAAGGTATTTAAAGAAATGATACATCAAAGAAGAGACGCTGGGGGAAAAGAGACATGCAGAGACCAGATCAAAGGATCAGACAAAGAGGAGGTAAGGCACCTCACACGAGAGTTAGTGTGAATTTTGTGAACACAGGTGGGCTTCTTGGAGTGAGGAGTAGGGTGTCAAGAGGTGGAATTAGATAGGTAATTGATTTGAAGTTTCTCATGTAATTTGAGTAGATTGCTATTATTCAGGAAGATGTGCATTGGCCTTGCCTTCTGGAGGATGTTATCTAGAAGATGCCACCTTCGGAGATCTAGTCTCATGTTTTTGTAGATATTTTGAGGTCGACTGCATCACGTGGGTCACAGAAGGTCAATCACGCAGCATTAAAAACTGGAGACTGAAAACGGTTGAACTACTGCCACACTTGACTAGCGGAAGGCACCATCTGCGCAACACACAGGATTCAGGTTCTGGCAGGGTGTAAGGTTCTCTGAGCTCCCTTTGGACTCCTACAGGCCCAAGGAACTCTACTGAATTAAAAACAAAAACGAAAAACCCAGCATTCATTTCACACCTCCAGTCAATCACACTGAAAAGATTGGTGGTAAAGGTATGGGAAGAGGGTTGTGATTGAAGCCTGGAAAGGAGGACCAAGGGCACGCTGCTGAGTCTCAGCCTGAGTTGGAGAGGCCTGGGTGAAGAGTGAATTGTTCCTTTAGCCACTCAACTAAAGTATAATGGGGCTTCTTGCCGAGACAGTGTGGGAGCAAAGCATTTTACAGGCTCTGCCTTCTATGCAGGGCTCAGCCCCTGCAGTCGATTGACAGATGGGCGGGGCTTCCTTGGTAGCCGGAACTGCCTTCTCTAAGTTGCTGGAGCAGCGGGAGGCTGGTGAGTCTGCCTCGCCGCGGTGGCCAGCCGGTGTTCACCGCGTTACCCCAGGGGCGGGCGTCGCAGCGTCGGCCACAGGGCGCTGTGCCAGGGTAGGGGGTCACCTCCTCTGTGAGTGAGCACAGGCCTAGGCGGAGGGAAAAACTCTTAGGGCGGCAATTTTGACTGCTCTAAGACTGCAGGCGTTGAGGCCGTTTGGCAGGCTGTGCGACCTTAGGCAAGTCACTCACCTCCTTGCAAACCTCTGGCATACTGGATCCATGTCATCTGTGTTTCGAGAGAGATTTAAGGGCTTCGTTCTCTGTATGTAATGCTTCTGTGAATGTATTAAGGAAGTTTGTCCCAGGAGGAAGAGTTCCACTGAGGCAGTGAATGGAAGCGAACTCAGTGGAAGGAGGTGAAGGAGTAATTGGAAGAGAGGCACATGTGAAGCAATGGTCCAGCTACCCGTAGTCTTCAAAGCCAGTTGAATAAGCTTGTCTTTTTTTGTCTCCAGCTACCCTGGAAAGAAACTGTTTTTTCCCTTCTCTTTCTCCAGGAACCTTCAGCTGCCCCAGCCCATGGCCAAGGGTATCGTCCCTGTGGAAAACCAGCCAGGAACTCAAAGCCCGAAGCTAGGGCCAGATCCCCTGTTGTCCCCATCATGGTCAATGACCCACCAGTCCCCGCCTTACTGTGGGCCCAGGAAGTGGGCCATGTCTTGGCAGGCCGTGCCCGCAGGCTGATGCTGCAGTTTGGGGTGCTCTTCTGCACCATCCTTCTTTTGCTTTGGGTGTCTGTGTTCCTCTATGGCTCTTTCTACTACTCCTACATGCCGACTGTCAGCCACCTCAGCCCTGTGCATTTCTACTACAGGTGAGAAGGCTGCTCCTTTAAAGTAGAAGGATCTTAACTTGAAAAATTACTTCAAGGGTTTCTGGAGCATCCTCTGTTGAATCCCAGTATTGACAGAGGATGAAATCGTATTTTCGTGTGTTAACAGGACTTCTCACCTCCTGAGCCAAGGCTGGAGCAGGTCTGGGCTGGTAGGGCACTAGAGTTCTAGGTCTACCTCTGCTGCTAAATTGTGGTTAAAAAGTGCCTGGTCACATATGTAATACCAGTCTTGAGAGACTGAATTGAGAGAATTGCCATGAGTTCCAGGCCAGCCTGGAATACAGGTTGAGAACTTGTCTCAAAAGAATTTAAAAAAAAACAAAAACAAAAAAAAAACTAGAAAAGGATCAGGGTCTGTTCTGTTTAGGTTGCATTAAACCTTTTAAGCCAGTTCAACTCCCATGGGTATCTAAGAATTACTGTAGCTTTTAACACATGAGCTATTAGGAAATACTTCCTTTGCCTTTTAGTTTACTGCCACACATCTCCAATGGTATATACCGTAACCCATGGAAGTCCTACTTCTTACCTAGGCTCCTAGTTCATATCCATTTTACTCACACTGCCAAAGTGTCTGTATGTCTCCCAACAGTAGCTATAAGACTAATCAACACAACACAGAAAACACTTTTTCTCCTGTCCCAAATCCCTAGTCTTGTGCTGTCATGTCTAAGGTAGATCCACGTAAACATTTAGGGAACATGAGTCTTTTTTTAAAATAATTATTTTATTTCATGTGCTTTGGTGTTTTGCCTGCCTGTATGGTTGTGTGAAGGTGTCAGATCCCCTGCAACTGGAGTTACAGGCAGTTGTGAGCTGCCATGTGGTTGCTGGGAATTGAACTCAGGTCCTCTGGAAGAGCAGCAGTGCTCTTGACCACTGGGACATTACTCCAGCCTCAAGGGAACATGAATCTTACATATATAGGGTATGTGTATGTATACCCAGGTATGAGCTGAGGATCCATATACTATGTGCAGTTTTGCATATAGATATATTTAGGAGGAATTTTTTTTTCCAACATAGGCCTCAGTCCAGAACTGCTGAATCAGACTCTCTAGGAAAGGGACCCTGAAATCCACATGAGACCATCAAGGGAGCCTGCAGAGACACCTGCGTGTCCGCGTCCTTTAGCTCCTCCCTATGGGTTCTGTTCTAATGAGGAAAAGAATCAAAGGCTTACTAGGATCTCTTGGCTCTAGTGGCCACATTTGTTCTTCATTTCCTGTGATGGAGAAAAGGGCTGGGTGAGAGGAGGGTCCCTAGAGAGCAGGTGTGTGGGCAGGCAGACAGAGCAGGCTATCACCTCACAAAGTGTCATTCGTCCCTTCTCATTCAGGACAGACTGTGATTCCTCCACCGCCTCGCTCTGCTCTTTCCCTGTTGCCAATGTCTCACTGGCTAAGAGTGGACGTGATCGGGTGAGTCTGAGAACTAGACATGATTGCTTGAGAAAGATAGGGAGAGCAGGGATTGAGCAAGAGATTTAAGAGAAAGGCTCTGAGGCAAACAGAGGTTGAAAAGAAAATCTGGAAGTTGATGCCAGTCACTGTGACACATCTGTAATGACAGCATTAGGAGCAAAAAGAGGCAGGAAGATTATTTCAAATCTGATATTAGCGTGCGCTGCACAGCCAGAGCCTATCTCCCTAGAGGCCCTGATTAAAAAAAATAGGATTCCGCCAGGCGGTGGTGGCGCACACCTGTAATCCCAGTACTTGGGAGGCAGAGGCAGGCAGATTTCTGAGTTCGAGGCCAGCCTGGTCTACAGAGTGATTTCCAGGACAGCCAGGGCTATACAGAGAAACCCTGTCTCGAGAAACCAAAAAAAAAAAAAAAAGGATTCCAAGCTTAAAATGGCTCTTGATATCAAAAAATAAAACAAAAAAAGGACTTTGAGAATTAGTGTCATTTTTTATTACATGAGGTTTTTTTTAGTTGTCAGTCTTAACTTGAACATTATTTTTTTAAGTGTTATTTAAGTAGAAGCTGACTTTATAATAGAAGATCAGCTCTGGCATAGTGGCACACATCATAGAAGGATGCTGACCAGGCTGGCCTCACACTCTGAGATCCACTTGCCTTTGCCTCCTGAGTGTTGGGATGAAATGTGTGTGCCACCACTACCACCCTAGGGAGGATATCTTGAGTTTAGGAGTTTAAGAGCATCTTAGGTAAGTTAGTTCCAGTCCTGTCATAAAAAAACCAAAGGAGCCGGGCAGTGGTGGCGCACGCCTGTAATCCCAGCACTTGGGAGGCAGAGACAGGTGGATTTCTGAGTTCGAGGCCAGCCTGCTCTACAGAGTGAGCTCCAGGACAGCCAGGGCTACACAGAGAAACCCTGTCTCGAAAAAAAAAAAAAAAAAAAAAAAAGGAGCTTGGGAGATAGAGGCAGAAAGGTTAGCCTGGATTATTTGAAAAACAAATAAAAATAGTTAACCTTGAAGCTGTGATCACCCTGTCTCAGCCTCCTGTGTGGTGGAATTAAAGGCAAGCAGAAAGTGGGTAACCCAGACTTCCTCTGCTTCCTAAATGCTGGGATTATTAGTAAGTATGCACCACCATGCCAGGCCTGGATTTATTTTTTTCAACCACTACTTTTCTAGTTTTTTAAAATAGGTTTATTAAGTTAAAATTTATATAATACATAGTTTACCTCTTAAAGTATACAGTTGTTGTATCACTCTATGTACTTATTTGGAACAAAGTTTTACTGTGTAGCCTTGGCTGGCCTCGAACTTGCCATTTAAACCAGGCTAGCCTTGAATTCACAGATATCCTCCTCCCTTTGGCCTCCTGAGTGCTGGGATTAAAAACATGCACTGCCACCCCAGGTAGTTCTATCATTTTTAATAAATTCACTGTTGTACACATAATGATACAAATAGACAAACTTAATTTTTTTTAATTAATAAGCAATCTGCCTTTAAAAATGAAGAAAGACTAGGATAACAAGATGCTCTGCTACTACAGTGACTGTGCCAGCGCTGACTGGGGGGCAGGGCAGCACTTGCTTAATTAGCAAGTGAGGGCAGACTAGGCCCGGGGGACAGCTCCAGAGGCACATAGGCCTGAATCACAGATGGCCCAGTTGGCAATGTGACTGTTCACTTTTGGAAAAGAAATGCAACAGGACTCTTCTTATAAACATAGAAGTCCAAGTCAGACCTAAGAGCTCACAGGGTGAATGTGGAGGTGCATGCCCAAAATTTCAGCACCAGAGGCTGAGGCAAGAGAAGTTCCATGAATTTGAGGCTTTATAGTGAGTTCTTGGCTAGCCAGAGATACATAGCAAGACCCACTCAACACAAGGTTCCCTACCCTAGGTCCTAAATAAAATCAAGCCAGCAAACAAAATAGAAGTCTGGAAAGCCAAGGTGTCTAGTGACCAGGAGGGGGCAGCATTGAATCATGATTAAACAATGGGAAGGTCTGTGGACCCAAGGAAATTTTGTTGAGTACTTAAAGAAGCAGAGACCGTACACTTTAATATATATATGAATTTATATATATATATATGTATACATATTACATATATATGTATACATATTATATATATATGAATGACAGGCCAGGCATGGTGGCACAAACCTTTAATCACAGCACTGGGAGGCAGAGGCATGTGACTCTCTGAATTTGAGGCCAGCCTGGTCTACAGAGTGAGTTCCAGGACAGTCTCAAAACACTACAAAAATTTCTTTTAACAAGATGTGTGTTACCTTGGGCAGGTACTGATGTATGGACAGCCATATCGAGTCACCTTAGAGCTTGAAATGCCAGAATCCCCTGTGAATCAAGACTTGGGCATGTTCTTAGTCACTGTTTCATGTTATACCAGAGGTGGCCGAATCATCTCCACTTCTTCACGCTCAGTAAGTATTTATGGACAATCTAGGAATTTGCAGACAATGATGGGAGAATCAGAATATCTGGCTAGTGTTTTAAGAGAGGACTCCTTGGCTCTGAGGTCAGGCCCAAATCAGGATAAGTGAAGAATCTGCTTGATAAGCTAAACACTGGTCAATCACCTAGTATCTCATGGCATTCCCAACTATAGAGTAAATAATACAGCTGCTCTGAAAACAAGCAGACACTGGAAACACACCAGCTTTGAGATAACCAGCTTAACTGTTAAGAGTTTTAGAGTGACTCCCTCCTAGCAAGACTAGGAAGAAATGCAGGTTCTTATCAGTAGTGAACGCTCATTCAACACTGGATCCCACTGTTCAACTGTCCACAGAGCCACTACATTTGAGGATAGCGTTAGGTGTTATGTTGGGACACAGATCCAACCCAGAAGACAGACTACATGTGAGCAGACTGCTTATCTCAGGGACGTAACTTTAGAGAGGAGGTTTTCACTGTCTTAGAATTAGAAAGTGTGGTCAGGTAGTAGAGAGCCATTACTGGAAGAGATGGAAAGCTTGGGGAGGTGATGACTGAGAGTTAGAGAAAGCGAAAGAGCAGGGAGCCTAGAATGAGCTTATCGCCCAAGCATGGGGCAGATAGAGTGAGCACCTGTTCCCAACCTGTCCTCTTGGCCCTGTCAGGTAATGCTGCATTACCGCTCTCAGCTGCTCCAGATGCTTGACACACTGGTGTTCTCCAGCCTCCTGCTGTTTGGCTTTGCTGAACAGAAGCAGCTCCTGGAAGTAGAACTCTACTCTGACTATAGGGAGAATTCGGTAAGTGAGGTGACAGAGTTAGGAGACAATTCTTCAACTGGCCCAAGATTGTACCTGAGGAGCCCATGGGCAGTCAACTGTGAGAGCCGCAGAGACAGGAAGTGGGCCTCAGACTGACTCTGCCTTCACCCCTCCCCTTGCAGTATGTGCCAACAACTGGAGCAATTATTGAGATCCACAGCAAGCGCATCCAGATGTATGGGGCTTACCTCCGGATCCACGCCCACTTCACCGGGCTCAGGTAAAAAGCCATGGAAGGAACCCTGACAGCTTTCCTGTGACCTGCCTAAAATGAAGAGAGTCCCAGGCAGAGGTGACCAGTAACAATCGCATCATATTTTACAAAGGCCAGAGGTGGTTCTTCCTCGCCTTCACTATGCTTATCAGCTTTCAAGAGAGCTTCTTAAAAGTCCCATGTGAGGAGCTGGAGAGGTGGCTCAGGGGTTAAGAACACCCACGAGGCAAGTTCCAGGGGATCTCATTTATTCTTCTGGTCTTTGGAGACACCAGGCATCCATGTGACATATACATACATTCAGGCAAATACTCAGACATAAAAATTTTAACAGGCATTTTTTAATATCCCATATGAGATGACAGACCCTTTCATTCCAGCACTGGATGGGCCTAAGGCAAGAAATCTTGAACTACAAAGATTTTCAGCATAATGAAAAAGGGGGAAAAAGTATCAGATGAGCCAGGTGTAGTGCCCTGTGTCTAGCCCCTGCTACACAGACAACATATTGAGATCCTATACACCTCTACCCTGCCCACTGTTCCCCAGTCAAATCTCTATGTAACCCACTGCCTTGTTCCATTGGCTCATAAAGTGCTCGAGAGACTAGAGAGGTTACAGTTGAAGCTGTTGTAGTGCTTCTGAGACTGCCTGAAATCCTTGGCCTTTATTAGAACCTGGTGCAGTGTGGTCTGGAACCTGGATTGGAGAGTGGGTGCCACAGTGCCAGAGGACAGCTCCAGCCACACTCATTCAAGCTGCCCTACAAATATTTCTGGAGTGCTGGAGGCTAGTGCTACCTAGTAACTGCTGTTCCCTTCCTGACCCTATTTCCCATCTTAGGTACCTGCTATACAACTTCCCCATGACCTGCGCCTTCGTGGGTGTGGCCAGCAACTTCACCTTCCTCAGCGTCATCGTGCTCTTCAGCTATATGCAGTGGGTGTGGGGTGCTGTCTGGCCCCGACACCGCTTCTCTTTGCAGGTCTCACAGGGCAAAGGCCCTGTTTTTCTTCCTTGGGTGATCAGGGGCATGTTAGGGATGGGGTGTGATTACTGCAGAGGGAGTCAGGCTTCCCTGCTCAGGGGTTACTGCTCCACAGGTTAATATCCGACAAAGGGATAATTCAGGACATGGGGCCCAGCGTCGGATCTCTCGCCATCAGCCAGGTAAACTGGTTGGTTGACAGTATCATTGAGGGGTAGACTGGCTGGATCAGAGGGTCTGCCTGCCACCAGTATGAAGCATGTGGTACTCTGGAACTGAGGGTGCAAGGAGAGGTTGGAGAAGGTGGAGTTGGCACTGCAAGCCAAGGATAACCACTGACCCTAGCTGTCCTCTGCTTGTGGGACCTGAAGGTCAGGAATCTACCCAGCAGTCAGATGTGACAGAGGATGGCGAGAGCCCTGAAGATCCCTCAGGAACAGGTATGATTCGGTTCCTCCCTCGCTCCTCATCCCCAGCACTCCCCTTCAGTGCCTGGGTCTCACCTGTCTCACCTCTGTTGCTCCCCTTCTGGCTGAAGAGGGCCAGCTGTCTGAGGAAGAGAAACCAGAGAAGCAGCCCCTGAATGGAGAAGAGGAGCCAGAGCCAGAGCCAGAGGCTAGTGATGGTGAGGGGTCTGTATGTGAGGGGTGATGTGTGGTGGGAATGCCACCCCACCCCTCTTTACCTGGCTCAGTTGCAATTTTGCTTGGCTCTTTTCTGGCTCTGCTTCAGGCTCCTGGGAAGATGCAGCTTTGCTGACAGAGGCCAACTTGCCTACCTCTGCCTCAACTTCTGCCCTTGCTCCTGAGACTCTGGGTAGCCTCAGGCAACGCCCAACCTGCTCCAGTTCCTGAACAAAAGGATGGATTCCTCACATTCCAGCACTTTCCCATGGGGCACCTTTTTCCTTGTTCCCTTAATAAACTGTTTTGTGCCAGCTGCTTGTGTGGACATCAGAGGAAAAGTTTTAGATTCAGTTTTCTCCTTCCACTACGATATGGGTCCTGTGGAGTCAAACTTGGGTCGTGGAAGATTTTGTTTTGTTTTATGTATCTCTGTATGAACCTACATAAGTATATGTATCACATGTATGCAGAAGCCCATAAGATCAGAAGAGGGTAGATCCCCTGGGGTTGGAGTTATATAGAGAGTTGTGAACTCCCATATTGATGCTGGGAACCAAACCTATATCTGCTGTAAGACCAGGAAGTTCTCTTAACCACTGGGCCATCATTCCAGCCCTGGGTATCAGTTTTTATTATTTTGTTTTTATTTATGTGCGTATGTGCGCACTTCTCTGTATGTATGGACATGTGTGTTGCTAAGTCAGAGGCAGAAGAGGGTATCAGATCCCCTGGAACTGGAGTTACAGGTGGCTATGAGCCTCCCCACATGAGAGCTGATATCTGAACTGCACTCTCTGCAAGAACAGCCAGCAAGCACTCTTAACTACTCAGACATCTCTTCACCCTCCAGTGTGTTCCCTTTTTAAATTATTTTTAATTCTGTGCATGGATGTGCATGTGAGTTTGGGTACCACTGGAAGCCAAAAGAAGGGATTGAATCTTCCTGGACCTGCAAATACATGGCTGTGAGTGAGCCACTGTCTTAGTTCTAGTGCTGTGATGAAACACCATGACCAAAAAGCATGTTGGGGAGGAAAGGGTTTATTTGGCTTACACTTCCATATGCTATTCATCAAAGGAAATTAGGACAGGAGCTCAAACAGGGCAGGAACCTGGAGGCAGGAGCTGATGCAGAGGCCATGGAGGGGTGCTGTTTCCTGGCATGCTCCACCTGGCTTGGTCGGCCTGCTTTCTTATAGGACCAAAGATGACCAGCCCAGGGATGACCCCATCCACAATGGGCTGGGCCCTCCGTCATCAATAACTAAGAAAATGCCTTACAGCCAGATGTTAATGGAGGCACTTTTTCAAGATTCTTTCATTTTAGAAAACTAGTTTGTCAACTTGACATCAGACCAGCCAGCACAAATTATATCTTCCTGGAAAACCAGCCAGTGCTCTTAACTACTGAGCCATTTCTCTAGCCCCTGTGTTGCTTTCTTTAAAAGGATAGTATAAGCCAGGCAGTGGTGGTGCACGCCTGTAATCCCAGCACTTGGGAGACAGAGGCGGGCAGATTTCTGAGTTCAAGGCCAGCCTGGTCTACAGAGTGAGTTCCAGGACAGCCAGGACTACACAGAAAAACCCTGTCTCGAAAAAAAAAAAAAAAAAAAAAAAGAATAGTATAAGAGCTACACATTACAAGGAGATTTAAGGTTGAACAAATTAGTCTATGATCTAATGTTCCCAATTTCTTGTACTAAGTCAGGCATTGAACACCTATGTTCCTGCTACTCAGCTGGAACAGAAATGTTCTTTGAGCCCAAGTATTCACGGTTGACTTAGACGATTACTTTACTTCATTTCCTTCCTCCTTCTCCTCCTCCTCCTCCTCTTCTTCCTCTTCCTCTTCTTCCTCTTCTTCCTCTCCTTCCTCCTCTTCTTCCTCTTCTTCTTCTTTTTCTTCTTCTTCAATTAAGTTTTAAATATTCTTAGAGACTGGCCTCAAATTTTTAGCAACTCTCCTGCCACAGATCCCAAGTACTGAATTACAAGCTTGCACCACCCCACCCAGCTGTTAGGACTTTGGCTTATTTTCTGAGATAGAGTCTCACTATGTAACGCAGGCTGTCTCCTAGTGATCCTGACTCAGCCTCCATTAGTGCTGAGAAATTGAGGCATGTACCACCTTATTTAGTATAGCTCTTTCCATCCATAACTCAGGGAAGAAACCTTATCCTGGCCAGAAAGAGGCATCCTGCTTTAGCATGTGATTCTCCTCTCCCTCAGGGGAGGGGGACAGGGTAGGGCGGATCCAGAGAGCATCACTCTGGACTTTACACCCCTCCCTTCTCTGTCCGTTGGGAGGCAGAAGACAGGAAATGACTGCCATGAATGTGGTAGGATTTTTACCAAAACAGCTTTTTGTAATTTAGGCCCCAAGCCATCCACAGATGTTTTCCTGTCTGATACCAGCCAGGTGCCCTCCCTCCTCCGAGAATACTCCTCCCCCCATCCTTTCACATGACTGCAGCCTTTGGATTCTCAGTTCCTAGCTGCTTTCCCCATTTCATTCCTCTGTCAGAACCCAGGCATCCTGGCCTCCAGCTGAAACTGCTGCATGTGGTTTCCCCTAACCCTGGCCCCGTGACTCAGTCCCTCTGAGGGAACCAGCCCTCTTCTTGGCACACAGGGGCTAGCTAGGTGGTGACATCAGAGTTGAGGAGTATAAAAGTTCTCAGCCAAAATAGAATTGAAGATACAACCTGTGACCACTCTTCCTGATATCCACGGATGTCCCGGGACAGACTCTCGCTGTGTCAAGGCCTACTACCCACTGGTGAGAGGCTGCTGTGGGTCCCGGGAAGAGGGTGGATAGAGAGAAGTCTGAATTGCTTGGACAGGATTTGTACAAATGCAGGTAGGGAGTGAGGACTCCAGTGTCCACTGCCACCCTTTCTTCCTTCTATCTTCCTGTCTTCTTTCTGGATATTTGTAACTATTACTAAGCATTGCTCTAGATTGGTCATTTCTCAGGCTGGCTTCAGACTCAGTCCACCTTTCTTCCCTGAACTGAATAAATCCTTTCCTCCTCCTCTTTCTCAGCACTTTTGTTTATCCATTAGATGCTTGCTTCTAACACTTTGCATGCTGCTTCCCAAACATCCCTCTCCTGTGGGGCTGTATCTCATTATTTTTTATCCCAGGTGAAGCAGTCATTCACAAATAATAATAATCCTCATAGTTTGGAGGTGTAGACAGGAAGAGTTGAAGGACAGCCTTAGATCAGCCAGAACCCAGAACACTGGCTTCTTAAGCCAGTTGACGACTGTATGTCTCAGCCCACCTCTTTCCTTTGCCCACCTTGATCCAATGTTGTACTTTTCACAAAGGTCTTGTCCTGGAAGGCAAGGCTGACAGCATTTCCTCATTCACTCCTTCCCTTCCAGGCTCCATGTTGGGCTCTCTTTCCCTTCTGTGGCTGGCGGCCATGACCACCTCCTTGGTTTCCCAAGCTCAGATCTTGACCCCAGAAGACTACCAGGAAGGGGAAGAGGATGATGTGACAGTAACTACACCTTCCTTAGCTGTCCCTTGCGACTATGACCGTTGCCGTCACCTGCAGGTGTCCTGCCAAGAGCTGCAGAAGGTTGGGCCAGTAGCCTGCCTGTGCCCAGGGCTCTCCAGGGAAGACCAACAGCCAGAGCCTCCTCGCCTGGGAGAAGTGCAAATAGTGGCTGAAGAAAGCTACGCAGTGGTTCACTGGTGTGCTCCCTTCTCTCCAGTCAGCCACTACCGGCTTCTGCTTTGGGAAAGCAACGGGGCCCCACAGATGAGTGCCCCTCTCAATGCTACAGTTCGAAGAGCAGAGCTGAAAGGACTGAAGTCTGGGGTTGCTTATGTCTTTTGTGTGGTGGCTACTAATGACGCCGGTGAGAGCAATGTTCCTGGGGCAGATGTTGAGGGTCCTGAGAGCTGGACTGGCCCTGACTTTGGGCCCTGTCGAAAGCTTATCATGCCACCTAAGCCTGTTACCCTGGTCCACGCAGCCGTGGGAGTAGGCACAGTCTTAGCTCTACTGAGCTGTGCAGCCCTGGTCTGGCATTTCTGCCTTCGTGAGCGGTGGGGTTGCCCCCGACATCAAGGCATTGCCCAAGCTTCAGAAGCTCTCTGATGGGGGTCCCGTCGACTACAAACAACTCTGGTGCAATCCAGCCCCATCTGGAGAGCCCAACCCACTCCCAGGAGGAGTGTGAGGCTTGCTGCCACCTGGCACCAGAGGCACGGCCAACCCAGAGCAGCCCAGGCAATTAGCCTCAGAACTGAGAGCTTGTTTAGTCCATAACTAGCTGGTCACTATTTTCCTTCCCTGTCAGGGGTTAGAAAAACTAGCAATTATTCCTTGGAGGTCAGATGAAAATGATTTAAGCTTTATGGGCTTGAGGGGGTAAAATTTTTTTTCTTTTTTTTTTTGGTTTTTCGAGACAGGGTTTCTCTGTGTAGCCCTGGCTGTCCTGGAACTCACTCTGTAGACCAGGCTGGCCTTGAACTCAGAAATCCACCTGCCTCTGCCTCCCAAGTGCTGGGATTAAAGGCGTGCAGAGGGGGTAAAATTACAGGCGTTATATATGTACTTATATATAGCCAATTAAAATGGAGCTATTTAAGGCCTGGCATGGTAGTTTACAATTTTAATCTCCAGGGCACTGGAGGCAGAGGCAGGAAGATCTCTCTGAGTTTCCAAAGCAGCCTGATCTACATAGAAAAATCCCAGGCCAAACCAGATAATATAGTGAGATCCTGTCTCAAAAAGAATAAAACAAAAACAAGGAAAGGAGGAGCAGGATAGAGAGATTGTTCAGCAGTTAAGAGCACCAGCTATTTTTCCAGAGGACCAGAATTTTATTCCCAGCATCCAGATGACAGCTCACAACCATCTGTAATTCCATTTCCAGGAGATCCAATGTCTACTTTTGACCTCTGCCAGCATCAGGCACTCATATACATACAAACATACATACATACATACATACACACATACATACATAGACAAAACACTCATACACATAAAATAAAAATTAAATTGAAATATAGCTATTTATAAATATAATCTGTTCATAGCTCATAAGCCTCTCATGGCAAGTGACAGACCAGGTTTGGCCTATTGGCTGGGCTTTGCCAACACCTGTTATACTCAAAAGGACTCTGCAACTGTGGGTGACTTCCACACATATTCTGAGAATAAGCTTCTGCAGGGTAGATGTTGAGACTGTAGCTATATCCTTCTGCTACCTTTTGTTTTCTTACTAAGGAGGAGCCTGCTCAGAGTCCACTTGTGTCTATGGAAGCTGAGGATTAAAAATCAGCATGGGCTGGAGGAGACAGAAGCCCAAACTTTTGTCTACACAAATTAGTGGTTTTGTTTGTTACTAATGGTTTATACCAATGACTCCCCACAAGCTTATATAATTCTTTTTCCACTGTATTAACATTAAAGGGAATCTAAAATCATTATATTTTCAGTTTCATGATCCTGTTTAATTCCATATATATTTTTCATCACTTCTTAGCCTTTTGTCCAAGTTCAAAGTTATGCCTATTTTTCAAAGTAATATGCATATTTTTGTGTTGTGTTTCTTTGAGACAGAAACTCACCGTGTAGCCCTTTCTAACCCAAAACTCCCTATGTAGAGCCAAGTTGGCTTAAAACTCACGGAGATCCTCCTGCCTCTGCTTCCTGAGTGCTGAGATTAAAGGTGAGTGCCACCACACTGGGCTGATTTGGTGTTTGGCTGCTTGGAGACAAAGTTATTATTACCCAAGTTCTCAGTAAATTAATAAGGGAACCTAGGAAAAAAAAATAAAAGCCACCCCTGAAGCCAGATGCAATGAGATAATGAGATGTAATTAAATACACTTTAATCTCAGCACATGGGAGGCAGAGGCAGGAGGATCTCTGTGAATTGGTGAAAAAAAACCTGGGCTGCATAAAGTTCTAGGCCAAGTAGGACCAGTGAAGCCTTGTCACAGAATCAGTAACTTGCTCAAGTTTTCTTTTTCTTTTTCTAGTATTCTCATTGAGAGTATCATTGTTCAAGCTAAGTGGTGGTGGTGGTACACCCCTTAATGATAGCACTTGGGAGGCAGAGGCAAGCAGGCAGATCTCTATGCTGGAGGCCAGCCTGGTCTATAGAGAGAGTTCCAGGACAGCAGAGCTACACAGAAAAACCTTGTCTTAGCTAGGCAGTGGTGGCACACGCCTTTAATCCCAGCACTTGGGAGGCAGAGGCAGGTGGATTTCTGAGTTTGAGGCCAGCCTGGTCTACAGAGTGAATTCCAGGACAGCCAGGGCTATACAGAGAAACCCTGTCTCAGAAACAACAACAACAACAACAACAATAAAAAGAGTCCTGCTGAGTTTATAAATACCTGCTCAAGTGTAGAACTAGTTTTAGTGTGTGTTAAATTTATTTATTTATTTATTTATTGGTTTTTCGAGACAGGGTTTCTCTGTGTAGCCCTGGCTGTCCTGGAACTCACTCTGTAGACCAGGCTGGCCTCAAACTCAGAAATCCGCCTGCCTCTGCCTCCCAAGTGCTGGGATTAAAGGCGTGCGCCACCACTGCCCGGCCCTCAGCAGGACTCTTATCAAGTGCCCTCAACAGCATGTATGTGGGTGACAGCGTGGAACTCACCTACAACACCACCAAGCAGCCTGTGCAGGCTCCAGGGCACACACTTCTGCATGCAGGGCTCACACGGTTAGGTTTAGCCCTGCTTTCTTTCACAAGCTTTGTCTCAGCTACTTGATGAGCATTTCGGAAGAATGAGAAAAGAGCTCTACCATCTTTAATTAGGAAGAGCATGCATTCCCAGCTGAGTATGTTGGCTTCACAGTTAATTAAGAAAAACTTGCGCTGTTATGAGTTATATATGGAATATACTGAGAATTTTGGTTTCTTTAAAAACACAGTTATGTTATGGGAATATGTTTTTGTTTCAATCCCAAGTGTGGGATATGGGGCTGCTCCAGATTGTCAACAGCACCCAGCTATGATTTTTCTCATGCTCTGGCAGGGCATAATTCTGCCAGCTGAATATTCTGGGGACTTTTGATAGGGTATAAAAATGCCAGAGCCCAGAGAGACTACAGGGGCTGCTGTTCCCCTTGCCGCTGCCCCTGCTGCTGCTGCTGGTTCCTACTGTTGCTTTTGCTGTTTGCTGAATTACTGGTTGGAGATGTCCCAAAGATTGGGCTTGCCCCAAAGAATTTGATGACCCTAATTAGCAATAAGTAGTCTAAAGAGATCTATGCTTGCTTTTCCCACTAATCTTTCTTGCCTACCTAGTGTTAGGGTGTTGGAAGGGATTGGGGTGAAACAAGGGTGGTAGGTTAAAAAAAACAAACATAGTACCCAAAAAAAGTACAGTTATGGTTATAAGTGGCACCAGATGTAGGGCTAGGCAGAATGGGAAACATGATTTTCCCCCTCCCCCACTGCTTTGCTCCTAGAGGGGATTTTCTATTTCTTCCTCCTCCTCCTCCTCCTCCTCTTCCTCTTCCTTCTCCTCTTCTTCCTCCTCTTCTTCCTCTTCCTCCTCCTCTTCTTCCTCCTCCTCTTCCTCCTCCTCCCTCCTCCTCCTCCTCCTCCTCCTCTTCCTCCTTCTTGTCCTGTCTCAGAAAAGGTTGGGAGACTAGCTGAGCAGTTTGAAAAGTTGTGAATGGAAATAAAGGAATAAAAATGGATGAAATGGGAAACCAGAAGGATTACTCTATACATTTCTGAAAGGGTTACAGAATTGATCATGCAACTGGAGAGGTTACAGGTAGAGGTAGAAACACTTGGGCAGTGAGTAGTACCAGAAAAGATAGAAATAAAAACTTTAGATCTGGTGACTGAGAGTGGGAGCTTCCAGCCTGATTTGAGAGAGAGGGTTAATGTTGAGCCAAGTGTGCTGCCAGAGGAGGGGCCTGGCATTACAAAGTCACCATCAGTTTTCCCAGTACATTATACAGCACAGGACTGCTAATGGTGCTGACCATGATGAGATAATGTGGTGTCCTATAAAAATGATAGATCTGAGGGAATGTATTTATTTATTTATTTATTTATTTATTTATTTATTTTGGTTTTTCAGGGCAGGGTTTCTCTGTGTAGTCCTGGCTGTCCTGGAACTGACTCTGTAGACCAGGCTGGCCTCAAACTCAGAAATCTGCCTGCCCCTGTCTCCCAAATGCTGGGATTAAAGGCGTGCAACACCACTGCCCGGCTAATCTGAGGGATTTTAAAGAAGCTATCGTTTCCTATGGAATGTGTTCACCTTATATAAAACAAATATTAAGTAACTGGGCCACCCAAAATAGAATTACTTCCCAATATTGGCACGAATTGGTGATAACTGTTCTAGAGACTGGTCAGCAGTTACAATGGGAGGGAGGAGGTCAAGAATATGGAACACCAAAATAGAGCAAGAGGAATGACTACCATTAAAGATCAACCGCTAGGTGAAGGGCAGTATTCTGACCTAGAGAACAGATTCAGTTTGATGATGCTGTCATAGAACGATGTTGCTAGACAGCTTTAAAAGCATGGGATGAAGATGAGGAGACTGGGAAAAGGTCCACCTCATTCACTAAGATTCCACAAGGCTCTGTGGAAGCCGTCACAGATTTTTTGCAAAGATTGGTTTCAGCTGTAAGCAAAGCCATATCAGACCCTGATATGAGACATTAATAGAGATATTGATTGTGAGATATTGATAGAGACATCAGTGTTTGATAATGAGAATACCAGCCGGGCGGTGGTGGCCCACGCCTTTAATCCCAGCACTTGGGAGGCAGAGGCAGGTGGATTTCTGAGTTCCAGGTCAGCCTGGTCTACAGAGTGAGTTCCAGGACAGCCAGGGCTACACAGAAAAACCCTGTCTCAAAAAAAAAAAAAAAAGAAAGAAAAAGAAAGAAAGAAAGAAAGAAAGAAAGAAGAAAAAGCTGTGACCAAGTCACTAAAGGTCTCAGATCTCAAAATGGTAGTGCATTAACTGTGAGAAATATGGTACTTACCAAGCCATATCTCAACATGTTAAATGTGTTAACTGTGAGAAATATGGTATTTTCTGCAAGGAGACCTGAACAAGTCTAGTTGCAGTAAGTCTCTAAGGTATAAATCAGAAAGA